GATCAGTGGTTTGTTAAAAACCGAAGATCGGACAAGGATTGTCAACCTTCTACATGAATTCAAAGATTGTTTTGCTTAGTATTACACTGAGATGCTAGGTTTATACCCAACCTTAGTAGAACACAAAATGCCTATTAATGAGGGGTTTAAACCTGTCAAGCAAGCACCACGGAGAATGTCAAAAGAGATCATAGAGAAGGTTAAAGAAGAGATCGAAAGATTGGTAAAGGCCGGATTTATTAGGCCTGCCAAATATGTTGAGTGGTTAGCCAACATTGTTCCTGTATTAACAGTCGTAGCTAAAGCAATTAGGTGTTGTGTTGACTATAGAAACATTAATAGAGCCACGCCTAAATATGAATATTGTGAAATCTCGTTCCTGGATTTCATTATTATAATCTACGTATTTGTATTATAGAGATTTAATATTTTTTTTGGAAAATTAATTATTTAAAATCTGTAGAACATTCAAGGTCACAATTTATATTGTTGAATAGATATCGAGATCATGAACGCATAGGCGAAAGCCGTTTGCGAGTCCGAATTATAACGGTATAGTTACAGACGTTTGAAGTTGTTGCTAAAAAAAATGAAAAGAAAAGAAAAGGCCACAGGAGTGGCTGAAGGAAAGAAAAAAAAAAGCCACAGGAGTGGCGAGAGAAAAGAAGAAGAAGAAGAAAAGAAAAAAAAAAGGAATGGACCCTCTCTCTTCCCCAAAACCGTAGACCTGTGCACACACATACCCATCCCATTGACCTGGTTAATTTCGGTGGATTTCTAGCCATTTTCAAGTGAACTTCACCCAATCATCACCTAAAATCACCACCACACTCCTTCTCCTTTGATATTCATTCAAGATTGGATGAAAATTGGGTTGAATTTGGTGAAACTCGCACCGATGGGTGCGAGGGTTCCTTGTCTTCAATCCACCATTTTGGAAATGATTTCCTTCGATCTCCACCGTTTGGGACTCCCCATGAGTCTTGGAACAAAGCCCAATCAATTGTAAGGGCGACAAAACACCAAGGAGGTTGAATTGAAGCACATCCAATTTCTACGGTTCCGGCGGGTTCGTCGTGAATTGAGGTGTTTCTCAGCCAAATTGGCCTTAGTCACAAGTATGAAACTTCATCTACTCTTCATAATCTTCACATTAGTATGCTTGGTTCGTGCTTTCGTATTCATTTTAGTGTTGGGTGTTTAGAACCCTAGAAATCCGATTTTCTCCAGTGAATTTGGACGGTTTTCGATTAGAATTTATTGTCGGCCTAGTTGTGAAAAGTGTTTCCCTTGTTGAGCTCTAGCTACCATGTAAATTTAAGCTCATTTAGTTAATATTGAAAATTCGGGTGTGGCGGTGTGTGGGACCGTCCACGAGTGTTGTCTAAGTACTAAATACCTTCTAGTGACCCTATGAACCTATGTCTAGCTTGGTTTCCCAAAATTCAATTGTTTGATGTGGTGATTAAATTGGACCACCACTTGTTTGTATGATTGATGACAATTCGATCGTTGGATTGTCGTACAACCTTAGTTATCAGTTGTTGGACCTTTGAGAACTTACGAATTTGAAATTAGATGTGCGGATTTTCTGATTTGAATAACCTTAGATTGTTGATCTTAATGGACCTACCTTATCGACGGTTAACATTCTAATCAACATGCTATACTCTAGAGTGTCGTTTATCTCTAATTTGTTGTTGAGGCTTGATGGAACTTAGTTGGCTCATCACGATGACTTGTCATTCTTGATTGACGTGTGTCTTAATATATGTATTAGTGGCATCATATTGAGTTATACTTGTTAATTAAATGCGCTTTCTATTGAAATGTTATTTTATTTTTTAGATCAATCCATGTTCATTGATTGTGATTCGACTGTAGCTTGGAAACGTTTATAAAATATGGTTAGATATGTATGATCAGTATGATGTGTATGATTGTTTTTAGGACAATGTGAACCCAGAATCTTATAAGAAGTATTATGTATAACTTTTATGCTTGTATGATAAGATAGTTAGTTGTCATGAGAAGTTGATAGTGCAAGTGATTCCGTTGAGTGATGGTCTGGAATCGTATCCTTCTTTGGATTCCGTTGAGTAATGGTCCGAAATCCTTTCTACTCCGCGATTCTGTTGAGTGATGGTCCGGAATCGTTTCTTGGTTTAGATTCCGTTAAGTGGTCCAAAGTTGCATCATTTGACTTGTTGGTTTCTTAGATTTGATATCAGCTTCAGAGATGTAGGCTTGGCTTAACTGTTTCACTCTAGCCTTAGTTTTAGAATATTTATGAGCAATGGTGTTAGAATCTTGTGAATTGAATTAGAAAAGTTGTTGGACGTTTGGGTGACTCCTTCAGGATTTTCTATGATTCGATTATGATTTCATAAAGTATGAATTTAGAAAATATGGTTATAGTTGTTATTATTTTGGGCAAATAAGTTAATTAATGTGGCTAGAGAATTGTATTGTGCTTCGTCGGTTCCTTGATATGATATATGTTGTGAATTTTGGTATCATGTTGCGACATAATGACTTATATAGAAGATGGAAGGGAAATCATGATTTTCAAGTGGGTTTGTTATGTAACCCTGAGTCTAGTAATTTCATGCTTGTCAAGTTTTATTGATTAATTGAGAAATGTTATGCCTTTCGGCTTAAACGGACTGTGACATATGTCAATTATAATGCATGACGAACTAAGAATGGCTTGATCTCTGTTTAGGGTACGTAGGCAGTCTAACGAGGAGGTTAGATGCAGCCATAAAGCATACAAAAAATTACTATGCGATTCGATTATCAAATTATGCTCTACCCATATCCCGGAGGCGGGGTATGATAGATACGGGTATTTGGTGACGTCACGTGTCGATCATAGACGTATGTCGGAATCGGGGTGTGACAAATATCCCATGCCAATGGCTGACTTATCTATAAATGCAATAGCCAAACATAAAGTTCTGTCTTTTATGGATGGAAATACAGGATACAATCAGATAAAAATGGTTAAAGAAGATATACATAAAACGGTTTTTAGATGTCCAGGTCATGTCGAAGCATATGAATATGTGGTGATGCCATTTGGGCTAAAAAATGCTGGTGCCACTTATCAAATAGCAATGAATGCCATTTTTCATGACCTAATTGGCCATAGCATGGAAGTATATATTGACAATATTGTGGTAAAATCCAAGACTAATAAACAACATTTGGTAGATCTTAAACAAGCTTTAACAAGAATGAGGATCCACAAGTTAAAGATGAATCCAAAGAAGTGCGTTTTTGGAGTAAGGTCGGGCAACTTTTTGGGATTCCTCGTTCATCAGAGAGGAGTGGAGGTTGATAAAAACAAAGCTCGGGCAATAGTGGAATCACCTTCACCCACTAATAAGGTACAACTGCAAAGGTTGCTAGGAAAAGTCAACTTCCTGAAGAGATTTATTGTTAATTTAGCGGGCAAGATTCAACCGCTAACTCCTTTGTTGAGACTAAGGGATAAGGAAAATTTTGAATGGGGCCCGCAACATCAAGAAGCTTTCGACAGCATAAAAGCTTACTTAGCCTCCCCACCAATGTTCATGCCACCTCAGAGGGGAAACCTATTAAAACTTTACATCTCTGCCTAAGAGAGATCAATTGGAAGCTTGCTGGCCCAAAACAACGAAGGTGGAAATGAACAAACTGTATACTACCTCAGTAGAATCCTTACTGAGGTGGAGACAAGATATACCCCAGTGGAGAAATTATGTTTGGCTTTGCACTTCACTGCTTGCAAGTTAAGACATTACATGTTACCTTGCCACATTCATATCATCGTTAAGACCGACATGATCAAATACATACTGGCAAAACCTATGTTGACAGGAAGAATTGGGAAGTGGATTCTGGCATTGTACGAATTCAGTTTTCAGTATGTACCTCAGATGGAAGTCAAAGGGCAAGCAATTGCAGACTTTTTAGCCAAGCACCAAGAGTCCCAGTAAGACATAATCAACATCTCTGGAACCTTAGAGGTGGCTAACATCTTGATCCCACCAAGTAAAGCCATCTCAGGCAGAGAGGAGTGGATTCAGTAGGAGGTAGAAAAGATATCCAGCCTTTGGGCTACCCCATGAAAGCTGTTTTTTTATGGATCTTGCACCCAAAATGTTGCTGGAGATGGGATCATTATTGTTGATCCTTTAGGTACTCACCATTGTTATTCATTCTTCCTGGATTATCAAGAAATTACCAACAATTGGGTTAAGTATAAAGCCTTGATAATTGGCCTAGAAATCTTGATAGAATTGGAGGCAACTGAAGTTGAAGTGCTTGGTGACTCAGAATTGGTAATCAATCAGTTAAATGGGGTGTATAGATGTAGACACATTGCCATGGCCAGTTATTACTTGGCAGCCACCCAATTATTGAGCTATTGGGGCACAGAAATATCAGCTGGCTATATACCTAGAGAAGCAAATACGATTGCCAACGAGATGGCACAATTGGCCTTAGGAGTACAAATCTAAGAAAGGAAGTTTGAGAAGGACATAGAAGTCCAAAGAAGAGATATCCCTTCCATTTTAGATAGGGGATATAGCCTAGATGTAATGATTGAAGAAGTGGAAGCTGAAGACTGGATGACACATGTCCTTCGGTATTTAAAAGATCATTCCTTCCCCACCAGTAAGAAGGATAGACAACAAGCGACTAAGTACGTTTTATGGGAAGAAAACCTACTAAGGAAGACTCCAAATAGGTTAATGTTAAAATGCCTAGGTCAAGAAGAGTCTATGAGAGTCATGGCCGAGGTGCATTAGGGAATCTGTGGAGCTCATCAAGCTGGAACCAAAATGAGGTGGCTGCTTAGACGATATGGTTATTTCTGGTCCAAGATGGAGAGAGATTGCAAAGATTATGCCCGAGGATGTGAAGAATGCCAAAGACATGGGCCACTCTAACATGTGCCTTCGATACCTTTGAACCATGTGGTTAAGCCCTGGCCCTTTAAAGGATGGGCAATGGACTTTGTTGGGCAGATTCATTCGGCTTCTAGTAAAGGACACACATTCATAATCGTGGCCACGAACGACTTCACCAAATGGGTGGATGCTTCAGCTGTCAAGAATATTACTTCAGCAACGGTCAAGAAGTTCATTGAAACCAAAATTTTGCACAGATTTAGGGTGTCCGAGGTAATTGTAACAAATCATGGACCATCTTTTATTTCAAAAAAAAGTAGAAGAGTTTGCCGACAAGTTTAGAATAAAGATGGTTCAATCTAGTCCTTATTACCCTCAGTCAAACGGGCAAACGGAGGCCAGTAACAAAATTATGGTGAGTATCATCAAAAGAACGGTAGCTGAGAACCCAGAAAAATGGCATGAGAGGTTGGGGGAAACTTTGTGGGCATACATGACGTTCAAAAGGACGGCAACTGGAACAACCCCTTATGCTTTGACTTTCGGACAAGATGTTGTGATTCCTATGGAGATTAATGTAAGTTCAGTCAGAATTCATAATCAGTTCGGGCTACACAGTGAAGAATATGTTCGAGCCATATGTCAAAAGATTGAGGATCTTGATGTAGCTAGAATTGAAGCTTTAAACAAGATTCGAGAAGGAAAGAAAGTTGTTGCCCGAGCCTATAATAAAAGGGTAAAATTGAAGAATTTCAAAGAATGAGAGTTAGTCTGGAAAACAATCCTCCCTTTAGGAGCACAAGTTAGGGGCTTCGGGAAATGGAGCCCGACTTGGGAAGGCCCTTTTATTGTTAATCAGGTATTGGGTAAGGGTGGATATTATTTGGCAGATGTAGATGGAGTATTACAAAAGCATCAAATCAATGTTAAGTTCTTAAAAAAATATCATCCGACCTTATAGGATGTTAAAGATTGCTACATAGAAGAAGAATAAGCAAAGCATGGGGAGTAAGAGGTTAGTTTTTACATTCATCATACGTAAACCTCAAGGAAAATACAAGATAAAGCAATATAAGAACATCTTATTCATTTGAGCAAAATATGAAAGTTACATCAGATCTAGCTCAATGGCTTCATACTAGTACAGATCCTAGAATAGGGGTGTTACATTTTTGCTCAACCTTATTAAATGGTATCACAACTCTTGTGATTCTCCCACATCTTCATCCACAAAACCTGATCGAGTTGTGTGGCCAATAAAAGCCTGATGACTGGCCCCGAAACATACCCCCATGGAGGTGATGGTGAAGTCTGACTTATGGAGACATTAGGTAAAGTGGTGATTACTCCACTAGCTTGCAAGGTTTCGACAGGCTTAAAGCGAGCAAAGCACCTGACGGAAGTTGTTGAAAGCAATGATTGTTCCTTAGGCACATTATTTCCAACAGAAATGAAGGTTAGAGAATACCATGCCGATCCTAAGGGATACAATCCTCCATCCCTAGAAGAAAATCTAGAAAACAAGGTTACCCGAGGATGATGAAGACCATCAAGAGGGAAGGACTTAATAGCAATCCCTTCAATAAACATGGAAGAATGAGTTAGGCTCATAGAGCTTCGGGTATCATGGTGAAAAATTAAAGGAAGAAAGGATCAGGGGAAAATGAGAAGGAATCACAGAACAAGTTAGGAAATATTTGAATGCTTTAAGGGGGTTTTTTCTCGAGGAAATTCTGGGAATATGAAGAATCAATCGGTTTTTTTTAAACTCAGAAGCTGAAATTGAGCCAGATTTTATAAAGAAGACCAGGTGACGATTGGAATTCGCAGGAAGAAGAAGGGACTCAAGTTCATATTAACTACATCAGAAAATGCAAGTTCCGAGTGAAGCGTGCAAGGGTATGAGGCCTATACAATCATTATTAACGCCTCATTTTGCAGGCTCAATAACGATTGAAAGGGGCATTGTTTGGGTTAATATTTGAACTTTGGGCTGAAGGAAAAGAAACCCGAAAAAGAAGCCTATGAGGCATGACTCTGCCCTAAGGCTCAGCATCAAACCCATTCGCCCAGCCCAAGGTAAAATGATGATTCCACATTATATGCAAAGGCTAGTGGCTTGAAAGAAGTGACACTTGATGGAAATCAACCTACTCTCAATCCAAAAACATTTTCTAGATGGCAGAGTACGTAAATTGCTGATGAGTCACTACCCCTCAGTTGCTTTCGGGTAGGAACCAAGCTGCAAACAGATAGGCTAATTAGCCTATAAAAATGGGAAGAGGGCCCAGAGATAAGGACACTCAACCAATCAAACAAACAAATACACAAACTCTGCTCAAGTCAGATTTGCATACGAAGTTGTAGTCAGCCCCCAACCTCAATCCTTTTCAGGATTAGCCCTCACAAAGCCATCTTTTGTCTAGTTTAATAGCTCTGCTGCTCACCAGTAGTATCGATTCTCTTATGTAACTTTATTTGTCATCCATTCTCCCTTGAAACCCTCAGATCCCTGTAGTGGCAAAGAAAAGAAATGGCAAAAGGTCCAGCCTTGCCCGACAAGGTTCATTCTTGCCCGATTCCCTTTGTTTTTGTCTTTTAGTTAATAAATCTGGTGTTGTAATGAATTCCCTAGTATGTATTCAAATCATTTTAGGTTTTTTAATGATCCAAAGTTCAGCTTACTCTCAAATCAGGTTTTAATTAAATGGTTTTACTATCTTAAAAGTGAATCCACTTAATGCCTTGATTAGATCTGGACCTCTGCCCTTTTACCATACAAGATACATAAAAGTCCTTGATCTCAAGGCATAGAAAAGAATCTAATATGGACTTAACCCATCTACGACAATCCTTTGATAATGAGAAGTTAAAGTAACTTGGGGCGCAAGTAATTGGCTTAAATCTACTCATTTGACATCTGCCATACTGAGATGGCAGTGGCACGTCTCAGCACTTAAGTTAGTTTTGACTGCGAGCCTCACAACCTATACTTAAGGCCCGACAAAGGCACCTTTCATAATTAACTTTGCCCTATTCTTGCAGCCCGACGAACAAAGCGAGAACCCGACAGTTAATCAAAGTGCCAACTCCGCGGGAAGCTGTGTGCTCGAGCCAAGAATGCCCACAGGTGACATTCCTGCCTGAACAGGCTCATCATCAAACACCCTATTAATCATAAAACACCCATCATCAACCTTCTCCTCCGGGCAAGAATGACCGTCATTCTTTTGTGCCCACAAGAAAAGCACGCTTCGAATAGTTTTTTTTTTTTTTTTTTTTGTAGCTGATGAGGAGAAGGCAAATAGTTTTTTTGTGGCTGATGAGGATAGGGTTATCCTCGTCCTTGTTGACAATCAGTACTCTTTTTAGTGGGAACCTTAGATCCACTTCAACCAACACTTTCGCAAACAAGCTACTAACTTTATCCACTCTGATGGCATCCCCATTTGGTTGTGCAATAACCTTAATGATATCCACCTCCTTATACTGAGCAAACACTCTAGGCAATCTCGCCCACACAACTAGATTGTTGATTGCATCCATATCACTAAACTGGGTAGTCAAACTCTCCAGATGGAAAATTTGGCCACAAACGTACCAAGGCTAATTCTCCAAAACAAACTCCAAATCCTCCACATCAGTTAACTCCAAGACAAACCACCTTCTACCAAAGTGATTCAGGTAATAAGTGTTCTTCACATCATTCTTCCAAAGCATTCCTAACTTCCATCTAATGTCCTGAGCCTTCGTATGTTGCCCAAACATTTTGCTCATCCAAACCCGACTCTGCATATGTTCAACATCTAGAGAAGAACAAAGAACAAAAGCTAGTATTGACCCTAGTGACACCTCGCTCCATACTGAAGGTACCCAGGTCTTTCTCAACAACCATAGGTTATTCCTCAGGTTCAGAAATAGGGAAGGGATCTATCCATCTAGGAATGTGTTGGTTATAAAAAATCCAAGGTCCTTTGAATGAATTGTGAGGAGCTGGAAGCAAGGAACTGAGAGTTTGCCATAGGGATAATAAGAAGGAAATAGAAGCACAAGAAAAGGTGAAGGGCAGATGAGTGGGACAGTAAACAATTAACTCAATATATAGAACAATATCAGGGGGATCCAAGGAACTGAGAGTTTTCCATAGTGATAATAAGAAGGAAATAGAAGCATAAGAAAATAGATGAATGGAAAACTATACAATTCACTCAATATATATAAGATATCAAGGGGATCCAACCGTCGAAGAAGAACAAGCATCTCAGTAAAGAGTAACATAGAACACTTAAAAGGTCTAGAGTAGCTAATAATTAAGGAGCAAGGAAATCGATTGGTGCTCCTGCGCAATGGGTATCCAAAGCATGTCGAAAAACCAAAACAGTTGCCGAAATAGAATAAAATAATCTCGAATACACCAACATGAAAGAGTATCACGCCACAACCAAAACCAATCATTATACCAGGCACAAGAAATAGATAAAAAAACCAAGCTCCATCAACTTTTAAACCATGAGTGACGATTCTCGTTGTATCCTCTTTGTGAGGATCCGGGGATCTTAAAATTACATCCGTTCATTGTACATCGTGCGGTCAGAAATCATTATTAATTTTTTTATTAAAAATTGAATATAAATCGTACCTGACGAAAACTGATCACACGATATACGATGAACGGATATGATTGGAAGATTTCTGAAATCCTCACAAAGAGAATCCGACGAGGATCCTCTCTGTTAAACCTCACACACAAGCAAACGGTAGTCCAATGACTAACGTACAAACCCTACTAAACTCTATAGGAATAACCCCAACTACTTGCTTGAGACACCCATCACGCCTAAAAACCCCTCCTGATCGAAGGTCACACACCTTCCAACACCTACTGAGACGAAACAACTTCCCGAGAGGAGATTGCATAAACCAAATCAGCACAGCAATTAACTTAAAACAATCATCATTCCAACAAGACGAAAGTACAAGCCTAATTAGCCAGATCAATACCTTAATCCAATTATCAAATTTAGACTTAACACCCCCTGAATCATCTACAGCCCTATTAATTATCATTCCTACACAATTTTCACAACGAATTAAATCATATTATCCAAGCATTGGGGAGGAGAAGGATTCCCAACAGAATCCATCAAACCACCCCAATAAGCTACGTCGCCTTGGCGGCCACGGAGCAAGGCCATTCTAAACCCTAGAGCCATCTTTTTTTATTATATTTGTTTTTTTTTAACTTTTCTGAATGCAACTTTATACCTTTTTCATGTATCTAAATGAAGAGGATTCTCGCAGGATCCTTTTTGTGAGGATTCTGGGAATCCTCAAATCACATTCGTATATCGTTCAGTTAGAAATTATTGTAATTTTTTTATTTAAATAATCAATCAATACTTGACGAAAACTAACTGTATAATGTACGATGAACGAATGTGATTGGAGGATTCCCGAGATCCTCACAAAAAAAAAACCGGCGAGGATCCTCTCTAGGATTTTTTGACCGATTGCTAACTTTTGGTTATTTGTTGCAACTTTCAACTTAGAATGTGTACCGGGAAATATATATATATATATATATATATATATATATATATATATATATATATATATGTATGTATGTATATATGTATGTATGTATGTATATATATACTTATGTATGTATGTGTATGTATATATATATACGTATGTATGTATGTGTATGTATACTTTCCAAGTCCTTTTCCAATCTCCAACCATTTATTTTAAGAGTAATGTTCT